GGAGACTGCGCCCACATCACCCTCTAAGGAGCTGAGTCTCATAGCCTCCCTGCACCTCACTTTTCATCTATCAAAAATGAGGATCATAACCCCCACGCCATCCCTACCGCACACAGACCAGAGGATGTGCCATCAGGTGCTCCGCCTAGGCTGGGTGGCAGGTGTAGACCCGGTCACCCAGGATTTGTCAGGGTGGAGGCTTGGAAATGAAGACGGAGTCTGGGGGCAGACTCTCTCACTATCCCGACGCTCCCTCTGTCCCCTAGTCCCCAGGGGAAAGGGGCCCTCAGCCATTCCACTCCACCAACTCCCCCTTCATAAGAACCCTCCACCCTGTCTAACTCCGCTACCTGCATCAGACTCCTAAACATGCCTTGTGCATTCCTAATTGCGTTAATGCTGTTCCCTTCAATTTACCATTCCTTCTTCAACCGTCTCAGGACCCTGGCTGCTCTCCCAGGCTCAGATCAAATCCCTTCTACTTTCACAAAACTGCCTTGGCCTCTCCCCAGCCCTGTGAGTTCCTGAAATCCCAGAGAATTTAGTCCTATTACATCCCCTACTTCGCCTTCAGATACTCAGCACCACAGCAGGGCATGTATACATCCATCCATCTATCCATCCACCCAACAAATCTTTATCCATCAGGCACTGTTGTGTCATTTACCTTGTCCATTCTCTCCCCATTCTCCAAGATGACTACTTCCCACTTTCTGTTCTCCCTCAAACCTCCACCACCCACTCCCCTAGCAATCCCACCCAGTCTTGCGGAATCAGGTACCATCTTATTCACTGCGAACCCCCTGCCCTGACCTCTCTCCTCCACTCCAGGTTCCAACACCCAATACCATCTCCACTTGAGTGTCCAACAGGTGACTTACTGTAGTCAAATCAGAACTCCAGATCCCCCATAAAAGCCTGCAGCCGGCACCTCCCAGTCTTCTCCGTCTCAGTAAACGATTTATGCTTCTTTGCAAGCCATCAACTTTGAAGTCATCTTTATTTTCTCTTTTTTTTCCTGCCCCATCTCCCCATGTCCGTCCAGCAGCAGATTCCATTGGCTCCACCTTCAAAACCTGCTGCCTCTGTTCCCTCCAGGCTGCAAACCCCGTCCTGCCGCTGTGGTTTCTAGCTGGACTGAGGAACAGACTCCATCAGATCTCCCTGCTGCCACTCTTGTGCGTATGGCTACACAACAGCCAGAGGGATCGTTTTAAAACATAAGATCAGGACGGTTGCAGCTCAAAGCCCTCCAAAGGCTGCTGAACATCACCCTTTGGATTTTATGCTAAGTCCTCGGGGCATGCAAAGCCCCTGCCCAGGTTTAACCGGTACCACTCACCTCCACCTCACTGGCTTTCTTGCAAATTTCTCAAATGCTCCTTTACATGTGCTGGCCTTTCTATCTGAAAAGCCCTCCCCTCACCTCAGTGACAACTCCCCCCCCAGCAAAATAACACCCTCTCCCCAGCACTCTTCACCTCCAACCCCTTCGTCATATTTATCACAACCTAACATTGCTTTAAATATTTATTTTGTGCATTTATTGCCTGTTTTCTCCATCAGAAGATCAGCTGCTCCACAAAAGCAAGAATTTGCCTATTTGGCTCACTGTTGTACTCTCAATCCTAAATAGCAAGGATTCAATAAATACTTGCTGAATGAATGAATGAGTCCTGGCTAAAGTCCTGACACTTTCTTGTTGTATGTGTCTGACCTTTTCTAACCAGAGGCTGAGCAGCCTCCACCCAGAGGCAGCATCTTGTTCATCCTTTCATCTTCCTATACCTCCTAGCTCAGGGCAGGTTCCAGGGGCAGGTTCAAGGCTGGGAAGGCAATCAGCTTCCACGATCAATGGGTGGAGCTGCCTGGCATGATGGAAAGGACTGGGTGGCTGGTCTAAGTTTAGCATTATTAATTTTTTTAATATCTTTTTTTTTAAGTGGAGGTACTGGGGATTGAACCCAAGACTTTGTGCATGCTAAGCACACGCTCTACCACTGAGCTATACCCTCCCGCACCATTATTGATTTGTGAAGAGTGCCAAGGGCCTGGGGCGAGGACTAAAAGTGCAGTCCTTGGGGGCTACCAAGCCTGTTAACCAGGGGATTCTCGAGGCTGGAGAGAAATCTGGATTGGACAGAGATGGGCCGTCCAGACCAGTCCTCAGGTTTGGGAAGCTCAGGAAACGGGCCACTAACTCACAGGGCAACAGATGCCCATGGGCCCCGGGGTACCAGCGGATGCTGCCCCATCAGCCCTCTGCTCCTGGGTAGATCTTCGAGGGGAATGTCAGCGAGTACAGGAGCCTCCCCTCCTGCTCAGCCCACCCATCTCAGCAACTGCTGCATAGAGGCTCAGGGGAGTGGCCGTCCGTCCCAAAGTTCTCTTAGATCTGGGGGCAGAGGCACAACTGGCCCCACATGACTCACAGTTTGCGTTTTACCCCCCTTGACATGACTCCTGGCATTTGAGAGAGGGCTCTGCAGGCACTTACCCAGGACCCCCCACCGCTCTCAGCTACAGGAGACCAGCGTGGATACAACAGGTGGGCGCAGGCCCTGGATCTTTCTGCCCAGCACGGCGTCCCCTTGCTCCCTGTGCCCCACCAAGCACAGAAACGGTGAAGGCACGGAAGCAGGTACCCTGTCCTCACTGCTAGCCTCATCCACCGAACCTGGGGGAAGGAGCATCCACGCACTGCCACCGGCTGCTCCCCGCTACGAGGATGAACCACTGAAAGCTCACTCCCTCGCCTTCCCTGTCTTCATCCTGACCTGCAGTTCCCAGGCTGGACAGTGTTTCCACAGCGGGAGGACGGGGGTGCGGGGACGGGTGAGAGAGGCAGAGTAGGGGAGGGGAGGCTAGTCTGCAGGACTATAAGCCACCGGAAGCCTGTCTCCTGTTCCTCTGTTTAAAACGCGAGCTGGCGGACTTGACTTCTTACGTAACATTACTTTCGCGACCAAAGCACTTTTCACATATGAGACTTTTCACAACCACCTTGGGGAACTAGTTTCAATGCACCCACTTTGAAGAGGTCAAGGTATTTGCTCCGGTACCACGTGGGTGAGCAGAGGCAGTAAAACCAGTCCCCATGTCCACTCCTAGACCAGTGAGCCCTGCTGCACCCACGATGTGGGGTGAGGAGGAAAGAAAGAACCAGCCATGCAAAACCCAAAAAAGGGATCCTTTCTCTCCAAAGATTATGAAATCAAAGAGCATTTTGTTGCTTCTTGGACATTCTTTCTATGACTCGGAGGCCACACAATTCAACAGACTTCCCATTATTACTATTATTAAAGTATTTGATCCAGTTCCGCCTCCTACTTTACCAACTTTCACACAGACAGAAAACTCAAGCGTTTACCTGGGCTCGCCCTTGGACAGGGCGAGCAGGTCACCCGCGCTTCCAGCCTCCACCTCCCCGGGTCTTGGCTCCAGGGCTCCCGCAAAATCTTGAAATCCCCCCAGATCGGCGCGGTCTGAGGGAAGCAGCCCGGCTCTGAACAAGCCCAGGCAAGCCCAGGCAGAGCCCGCTTCTAGGTCCTCCCTCCTGCGCGCATCACCCGGCCCCGGGGCGGGAGACGCGTCTCTCCGGTTCCAGATCCGGGGAGTCGACTCACCCTAGACGGATCGGGCGCCGGCATCTCTTCCATCTGAGCAGGAAAAGGACCCAGGTAGGCAAGGAGGGGCGGGTGGGGGCGGTGCCAGCCCGCGCTGGATGGGGCGGGAGAGCTGCGAGAGGCAGGATCACGTCGGGGGTGGGGTGTG